GGCATCGCCATGACCTGTGTGGCAATTTGTGCCACAAAGCCAAAGGACTGGTCTCCATTTCAGAAGAGTCACTCCTTGTCAGAAGTCCACATTGAGCAGTACTTTGGACAGCTCCGCAGTCAGTATAATGACAGTGATCTCACACCAAGAGGCTACTTCAATGCGGCTGCAAGGGTGGCAAGGAAGACAGCCAAGAAGCGGGTGAAGGAGCCAAATGACCTGGTCGAGGAAGAGCCCCTGTCGCCCGATCAGTGACTTGGTTTGTGCTCGGGGGGTTTATGAAATGAATATAGGGAGATATGGGGTGTGTGTGTGTGGTCATTTTCATACGTGCGAATTTCATTTTATATATACATATCAAAAAAGTTGGATATGGGGCGCCGGTCACTTTCATATGTTGGATTTTCATTTTATAAATGTCAGAAAAGTGTGCATTCATTGAAACAGTGACTCTCAGTCTGTATAAAATAAAATGACTGCAAGACGTCTCTCATGTAAAACTATATTGCCCTAAACAGGTCATTTTATAGTGGTTTCAACTCTGACTTGAAACTACTTGGACTAAAACTGTTCAGGCTTCGATCCTGTGCAAGAAATGCTTTGGCGGCCGCTTTGCACTTGGTGTCTGAGTGCAGTGGTGTGCCGAAGGAGCAACTTGAGAAGTCATACCGGTGTGAAAGCATTGGGGAGTTCTTTGAGGTTGCTGATGATGAAGCAGATGACCTCCTAGAGGATGCCATTCCAGACTCGGTGCAGGCGATCCAAGATGGACATGAAAAAGGCCATGAAATTGAGACGGTCTTGAATGAAATCACATCTGTTGCCACTCAAGAGTTTGCACAATGTGATCCAGATGACCCAGAGGAGCTTCTCCGAGAGAATGCAGATGGCATCTCAAGACCTCAAGACACTGATGCAAGGCTGCCAGACGGACCAGAGTTAGCCGGACAAGAATTCAAAGGCTGCCAGGCCAATGAATTCTGAATTTCCTCGCACCCTGAAACAGGCAGTCGCGTCCAAGAACATGTGGTCTTCCTTGTGGGGGTTAGCTGTTTTCCTTCGTTGCGGAGAAGATGGAATGGACAGCATGTTCTTGAAAAGGGCTGAGCTGGTAAGGGCACGATCGAGAAAGCTCAACTGGCACCAGTCCCTGGGTGTTTGTTTTGCAATCTGTGTGCACTCTATTTATGTGGCCATGGTTGCCGTGGCTATGACTGTTTTAAATTTTGACATCTGGTAAATATTTGTCAAATTTGGTCAATATGTATTCATTTGATGTCATTTTGTGTTGATGAGGACTATGGAGCACCAGCTGAAGGAGATGCGGCTGCAAGAAGAAGATGGTGAAGGAATGCTGGCGGGGCAGAAGGGCAGCCGGGCCTCCAAGTGGATTGTGCGATCATTGAAGGCCAAGAAGGATGGGTCCGACGAGACAGATAAGTTGCAGAATCTGTGCTAGTATGGTCTAGTGATATCTATTTGTATCTATTTATATAGATATCTACTTTTGAGATCTTTTGATATCTGTTGATCATTTTTTGTATTTGTTGGTTTATTCATGCTTCTATGAAATGAGGTGATGGGGGTCCGCTTGCCATTTTTAATTGAAGCTTCTAAAGCACACATTTCATATATATATATATATTTGTTGTTGTTTGTTTTTTGGGTGAAAGTGCGCTTTTATAAAATGCCTTTGATGGCCAGACACTATAATGAATAAAGTGAATAACCCACGACAAGCATTTTATATATGTATGTTGCTTTTGTTGAGCCTAGCCAAGGATGGGAAACGTGATCGTTCTGAACATGGGACCAGATCAAGTGCCTACAGTGGCGCTGGTAATGACGGTGTTTCCTGTTGCGAAAAAGCCACGACCCTGTGACTCAGTGTTGTGTTCAAGAAACTGTGGGTTGGGTACGATAGATTGGGTATGGTTGTGCATCCTATTGTGGGGTTTCTGCCAATTTTTGGATCATTTTGGATCTATGTTCTGCATTTTCACCTTTGAATCGCTCTGAGGCGCTCAGCCTGTGCCGCTCTCCCACATCAAAAGCTTCCGGGCCGTCCAACTCAAGGGAAAGGAGGAGAATGGCAAGATCGTCTTTGAACCTACCTCGAATTCTTGGATATTTTCGTCTTCACATGTCCTAGCTATTTTGGACATTGATGCTTCGCTGTCGGATGTGGCCTCTGGAAGGTTGACTCTGACTCCAGAGTCCCTGGATGTTTTTGCCGAAGTGCAATCCGAGAACAAGCCAGAAGTGGAACCTTCTTCTCCAAAGCGACGGCGGAAGACTTCATCCAAGATCAATTTCAGCAAGGTCTTCAAAGGCTTCCATCGCGCAGCAAAGACTCTCATGAAGAAGGCTGAGAAGGAATCGAGTGCTCAGCCAGAGTCCATCAAGCCGCAAGATATCAGGAGATCGGAAGCAGGCCGAAAGAAGATCAAAAGCATCCTCGTCAAAATGGCCAGTTTGGACCAGCTTCACTTTGCAAACCCGGCCTTTGATGCAAAGACGCAGATGTGCAAAATCAAGACGATCAGTGAACAGTACTCCTTTGCGGACTTTGTGAACCAAGCTCCAGCGTACTACCAATTCAAATTCTTTGACAAAAGAAAAGGTGACAGCTATGGTGCAGCGGTTTGCGCAGAGTTGGGGAGCGCTTTGGATGAGATGAGAAATGGAAAGCCCAGCCGCACAAAATGGTTGGCTCTCATCAGTGATGTTCGCTCTGCAAAGATTGACAATGAGATTGCGATGTGAATCCACAGGATTCCAGACACAGTTTTTTCAAGAGACAATGAATTGCCTAAAAGCTGGCTATGTACATTTTGTCGCCAGCGCATGGGCCGCGGACGGATTGTGTGGGAGGTGAGAGCGAAGGAGTCAAAATATCAAGTTGCTGACAGCGAGGGTTGGTTTTGTCATTTTATAAACACCTCATAGGTGAGCTATAGGATTTCTTGAAGAGTCGGTTTGGCCTTTTTATAAACCTCCTGTTTTTGTCGCTGCTATGCTTACCTGAAGTTTGGGCATTTTATAAATAGGTTGGTTTTGGCATTTTATAGGAAATATACCCTGTATACCCATTTCATAGCCAAAATTCTCTATAAAATGCAATCTCTCAGCCGATATGCACAAGTAAGGGGGATATATATATAATATATAAATAATATATAGATATCCAAACCACGGAGAAAGACGGGGGTAGCAGGGCAACATGTACCGATCACTCTAAGTCTAGAGAACTCCCGGAGCTCTCACAGCTAAGCAGCAACCATGACCTGACAGGTCTTTGACATGGAGGATCATGGAGGCTTTGGACATTTTAGACTTAAAAGTTACTTGGGACTACTACCCTGTTGAAGGGTTGCGGTTGGGATAGAGCATGACCAGCCCCTTAAGAATATGATCAGGTTATGGGTCTTTAGGGCAATCGAGCCACCAAAGTCCAGTCGAAGATTTCGATTGGGATAACGAACGTCGATCAATATCATCCCCAGGTCTCCTGGCCCACATCCTGAGAAGGTATTTGATGATAATTGGACCCCCCTGGCACCCACCCCAACCACCGAACCTGAGGATGGAGGCCAGGAGCCCTATATAGGGTTCTTTCACTGCATGTGGAAAGAGACGCTCTAGGCTTGAGGGACCCACAGAGCATCGCAGAACCATCAGAACCTAACACATGTGGAAGTTGCCACCTAACTCGGGGGAAGCAGCCCAAAGGATCCACAGAACCGAATGAGGTGGGTGTTGGAGTGTGGAGGCTTGTGCCGGTCACCACTCCAAATTTTGCGGGTCATTTCGTGGAGAAGGTGTGGAAGTGTGCCGAACGGACCAGTGTCCATTCTGATGTTCATCGATTCAGCCGGTGTATTTGATGCTATTTCCCCCATCCACCCGAAGAGAATGTGGATGTTGTGTGCTCGAACTGTACTTTGTGCACGCATGTGACTATGCAGATGCTGATTTCATGTAATTAGTTGAAAACGAGTTTGCCACAGAACGACCATTCTGTCCATATTTGGGGTGGATGATCTGAGGGTTTGCTCCCAGATTTCACTTTTGCCATTCGCAGAATCCGCCTGTGGTTTGTTTCTTTTTTGGGGGGCAATGAGAGATACCCGTGCACCCCAGGCTATTGAAACAAAAAGAACCTAATAATCAGTCTGGCGATGTGACTCGCTGCACGTACGGGGGGCTGGTGGCGCCCAGGGAGAAGGAAGAATGCTCGGTGGCAATGGAAGATGCACTGCAGAAACGCTGTGCGACTGTTGACCTAACCTGCAACCGCTCCTTTGGCGAGTTCCCCAATGCCTGCGCGGGCTATTATATTACCAGCTTGGGCGCCTCGGAGCATGGGCGGAGATCGGTCACAAGCGGAAGAAAAACATGTTTACTGTTTGTTTTTCTCGATCATAGACTTGTGGAAATGTGTTTCTGGGATTAACAAGCACCGATTGCACAAAATAGCTTCCCAATCTTCCCATGCTTATTGGATCCTATTGGCAAACATTCAAGAGAAGATGAAACGTCAAACATCGGGGCCCCAAAATTGACAAACACAAAACAACAAGGTGCCCCCACCCCTGTAGTTGAGAAAGGAGCACGATCACATGAGTAAATCTATTTTGCCCCTCACAACTTGCTTGGGCGTTATTTCCGATTGAGCTTGAGTGTGCCTTGTCTAAGAGAACTTCAGCTCCCCAGACCCGCCGAGGCAAGGTCTGGGTCGCCTTCTATGCCTTCCGCCGCGACATGGGCGCCAAAGCCTTTCGGGATGTCCTGGAGCCTTGGGCCTGGAGCCGGGCACCGAAATGACCGGGGATGGTCGATGGAACTGTGTCATGAATCCTTCCAAACGTTGGATATAGTGAGCGATTTGCATTCGAAGGTCCTGTGACAAGACTTCTACTTTGAGTTGTTTAATCAATTTATAGACCAACCCAACGAATCGGTCTCTACTTGGGCCATAAACGACGAAGAACCCTGACCCTGAGAATCATAATCCTTCAAAGTTCCAGACCCAGAGATGTGGCTGGACCGCGCGGTACTAGAATCGCTAGTGCTATGCAATCTGACCCAGTGTAAGGGACACTCTCCTTGGCCCTTCCATCCTGACTGATGGCTAAGAGGCAGCCATCGCCGATCCGTAAACACCACCACTGTTCGTCCCTCAATTAGCGGAAGAAACTGAGCTCCTTTCTAAAGTTGATCCCTCCACAAAGATCACGAGCGACGAACATGGTTCAGGGCCATCAAGGAATTCCTAGGGCCACCAAGGGAGCACCATGTCAAAGATTAAACAGTTATATAAGTACCTCCCCTCCCTGCACTCGGACCCATCCAGAGCTTCATGTCCAGCTCCCCCCCCGCCGCGGGGTTGCCCTCTGAACAGAAGCGTCAGAAACCTTCGTCCGCGTTTCGTCCCTCTGAGGAGACCCGGATCTTTTTGAATCCCGAAAACAATGGGACCTGTGCAGATTCTTACCTGGTCGGCACCTCCGGCTGCTTGGGCAAGCTTCAAAGGTGGCACAGAGAGAGGGGAGAGGGTCGCCAGAAAGAGGCCCAACCGCTGACCTCCGTGGTATCCAAGTGCATCTTCAGCATTTTCCACCCAACAAAAAGCCGGAACTTCCCCACCTCATTTCGCGGATCGCCCCGATTGTCCAGGGGCAGGGACCGGAGTGGGATGGCGGATACGTGGCACAGCGGATGGAAGATGCGGAAGATACGTGGCACACGATTTGCCGAGTTGAAGGATGGTCCAAAGACACTGTTCTTCCCATAGGGACCTGGGCAGAATCGCATCGTCTTTTTTGTTGAGCCACTGCAAGATTCAAGTCGCTTGTGGAACATGTGGACATCCTGAGGCTGCTTGAACACGGGAGTCGAGATGTCTTGGTTTTGGCTGCGGAGAGTGAAACATCCAAAATGATCGGTCATTGGGGGAGGGACATGGCACCAACCTGAACACCAACTATTTGCTCAAGGACAGGAGCCATCCTTTTCGACAGCACTTGAAGTAAAAAACCCTCAGGGCGTTGATTCTCTCAACTTGATCAAGTTTGATTGACAGAGGTCCGACAGGTTCTTATTCATTTGTGGAAGGCTTCCCGAAGCGAAGGGAAGGTCAGGACTCCGGTCATCGCTGCCCCTCCGTCGACTTGAGGCTTTTGCTTCGGACTTCCGCCCAGCAGCAACTTTGTGAATGGTCCAGCCATAGTGCCTGGGAATTGGCAGGGGGAATCCGCTGTCCACGTGACATGGGAAGGCAACTTGGACCACCGGCTGACATAATAATAATACGTAACAATAATCATAAGAAGAATTAAGAAGCACTACCAAGGATTTTTCTCGAGTTTGGCCACCTAGCTTTATTTAGTATATATGTTTTCTATATTTGCCCATTGCAATATACATCAATATACCCTCCGAAAACCAGCTTTGACCCTCTGAAAAATGGTCAACTAACTGGAGGACTGTCTTCCTACAGGCCACATGTGAGTTTGCAGAGGCGTAGAGCAAACCATAAGGTGGGCAGATGGTGGGTGGTTGTCAATTGAGGTTTGATTCGGGCGTTGGGCTCTACTTGCAAGAGGGTTTCAAACATTGTGTGTAATCATGATCTGTGTTGTTCTTTTTTAGTACCTCTATGGATGACACATTGTTGTTTTGTAATGCTTATATAATGTGCAATGCTGCGTGTCCGAGCATATTAGATGAATATTATATATTATATAGACCTTGAAGGTGAGTGAAGTTCGCAAATCTCCCAAAACACGTTTTCTATCAAGTGAGTTCGCAAAACTACTGCTTTTTGCATTGACAAACCACTTCTGAAGATAGGAGAAGTCGTTGCTATGTGACCTATGTCCCTTTATTAAACTGCGACAATCTGTTCACGAGTTGACCTCTGTGTTGGTTTCGCAATTGCAAGCATTTTGCTGCCTTACCTGCAGAGCAAATGGCTCAGCCCATCCTTTGGAGCAAACTTTATGACGGGCTTTCAGGCTTTGATCGGGAGAACAGGCCCGAAAAGGCTCGCCACATCCAGATGATCAAGGAGACTTCCCAAGAAATTCGCATGTTTTGGGGTCAGTGGATCAGGGGACTCTGAAGAGAACTTGGAGCCACCGGGAAGGCCATGACATGTCCATTGCGACATGCCGAACCGTTCGGGAAGAGCCCCAATGGACCCTACGCAGACTTCTACCCTACACAGACTTCTGTGGATCTCCATGGCACCGGGAACCCTGGGCCCCTGGGGCCCACTGAAATGGACGAACAGAATAGACTCCGACACTCCGACTCACTAATGACATGGAAGTGGAAAAAAAAAACACCCTGGTCGTGCGAGGGACCCATTTGCCACTTCCATGTTAGTGAGTCAGAGATGCACAAAGGAGGTCAACCTACCAGCATGGAACTCGCTACATCCACATGTCTACAAGGCGATTCATTGAGTCGATCAGTCGATCCGTCCGTCCCAAGGATCCTCCTCTTCTGCCGAAGATCCTCGACGGCGCTCCGGACTGGCCTCCGGTGCCGGATCCGCGATACGCGCCGGAGCCAGCCAAAGAGTGGCCGCTGGGATAGCAACTTTCGGTGCAGAATGCAGGGTCCAGTGGTGGGGTAATTAGTAAGTGGATCGCATACACAAGCTGGGTTTGGGTGGGCAAAACATGGCAAAACAACAACTCCATGATTCAATGATTCATGGTGAACTGAGTGCAAATGGCCATTGTTTGAGGCG